GAATAAGGAGTACCTGGCAATTTAGGGTTTAGGGTTTAGGGAATTTAGGGTATGGCTTCATAAAGCTAGAGTTGCAGGGGCAAGATATGGAGGCAGCTTGGCAGGCACTAGCTGTCAGCGGGAAAATCTCCCTTGAAGCCTCTAGCCAGGCAAACCCAAGTCCGAAACCCGATGAACAAGCCTAAACCGCCATAATGTAAAGCCGGTTTAGGGCTTAGCATACCCTGTAGATCCCTTAGAGCAACCTTGCCTAGACATGTAAGCTGGGCTAAGTTTCAGTATACAGACCTACGGACAAAAATCAATACAATTATCAACCAACCTGACTGTATAGAGTAAGGTTTTGTATTACGTTGCCTTAAACTAAATAAACAAACAAGTAAACAACGATAACTAAATGCAAAATGACACAAAATAAATGTGTATGTATGCATACATATATATACATATATATGTAGTGACTATTTGGGATTACTACCGCCTCCACGGTGATCGCTTTTCGACCTGGTGGTCCGCCAGCGAGCTGCCAGAACTTCCGATAAGCCTTGTCATACTTGGAGGTTCATGCAGGCTTTAGGGTTTAGGGTTTATGCTGACTTCTGAATCCCTCCTAAAAGCTTACACTTTTAGATATATTATAGTCCACATCGACACCCAGAAAGTTAAAGTCCTAAGAGCCAGCCAGGAGAATGCCAAGCATGGGTGGGTGTAAGTTGGGCTATAAGTAGGGTAACTATGGTTACGCCCTAAGCCCTAAACGATAAACCCTAAATTAAGGGCCTGTTCACCCGACCAGTGGGCCTCCAAAGACCAGTCAAGTGTTCCAGCAGGGGGGGTTCCATAAAGAGTTCTACGTTCTAGATGAGATTTTGTAGGGATTCTATTCATACGGTTGATGGTGTAAATCCTGCATTACCCACAATAAAGACTATGCCATATTTCCCTAGTTTAGGGTCCTTAAGGTAACGCAGGATTTATATCTTCAACCGTAGGGCTTAGGGTGCAGGGTGTCGGAATCCAGTTGAAGGGTCCCTAATCCCTAAGCCATAAACAGCCTATGTAGGAATCTGACTAAGAAACCCTGGCCCTGTAAGCCCAAAAAAAAGGATTCATAAGGAACCCTAATCAAGCCCCAAGGTTTCTGAATCAGGTTACCATATTCAAGGCTAAACCCTTAAACCCTACCTTAACCTAAAACCCAACTTGTTTGTAGGGTCCCTATAAAGTCCATATTAGGGTTTATAATCAGAACCTACAAAAAAAGTAGATGTTGGTAGGTTACCCTACGGGTCCAAGTACCCAAACAATAGGGTTCCAAGTTCCAAAAAGCACTCAGATTATGGATTTTGGGACCTAAAACCTTACTATTTGGGTACTCGGACCCTCATAAACCAACCCTAAACCCTATACCCTATAAACCCTAAACCCTAAACCCTGTAAGCCCTAAACCCTTACTATTTGGGTACTCGGACCGTAAGGATTAAGGTACCGACTCTCCAGAGCCCAGGTTTCCCAGTGCCCCGGGCACTTCAACCCTGAAGCTTCTTCGCACGATTTTTTTAGGGAGGATTTAGGACTTAGTTGCTGAGTATAAAAAATGTGTACACTCTCAGGTCTTTCAGGGATCATGTTATCCCAAAAAATTTAGAGTGTAGTAATTCAGCTACTAAGAGGGTGGAGGGTTTAGGATTTCAAGGCAGCCGCCTGGGAACATAGTTTGAACCTATACCGGAGCCCAGTACACCTCAAAACATGGGGGAGGGGGGACACGAGTATCGTTGGGCCAAGGTATCTTAGTGATAAAACCAAAGATTTCAAGCCCCATACAATGTTAGTAAGGTCTATTCGTCACAAACCCTGGCTGCTTTTCTGTCAAAACTTCTTGGAGGCGTAACATATTCCTTGACTGAGGGATATTTGGCTCCTGGGTTTGGAGCGTAAGTAGTCGTAGTTAAGGCCGTTTGGAAGCTTCGGTCGTGTTGTTGCTATTGAAGAGGCTCTACAAGGATTTATACAGGGGTTCTATAAGGCCTTCTATCGAACATGCTGTTGGAGTTTAGGCGGTTTAGGGCTTGGGCTTTAAGGCTTGTAGTCGGGTTTCAATCCTTCAGGTTTCACTGTAGACGGTTTGGATTTCGGATTTGTGGTTTTGATGTCGGTTTAGGGTGCTTAAGGTAATGCAGGAATTATATCATCAACAGTAGGGGCTTAGGTAATTTAGGGTTTAGGCTAAACCGGCAAAAACATATACAGGCAGACCGAGGCCTCTTTCTGCACCGCTGTGCTGCCCTCGCTGCAGATGGGCGCAGTGATTTGCAGGGACGTCACTGCACACGCCTGCGGATGTTTAGGGCTTCCAGGCTTATGGTTTGGAGGTTGTAAATCGGGGCTTTGGTTGTTGGTTTAGGGTCTCATAGGGTGGAGGGTTTAGGGGGGTTTAGGGTTTTAGGGCTTTAGAAATATGTGCTATAGTAAAAGCACAAATCAAAATGCAGAGGTAGGGACACTGCAATGCGACAGAGTGTACATGTACTTAGATCTGTTTTTGTCTTTGCGGCTTCAGGGCGACGACATCTGAACTTCGATAAAACCATGATGCCTCGACAACCCTAAGCCTAAGCCTAAGCCCTAAGCACTGAACTGTTCGAGGGCTTTCGTGCTTGGGGTTTTGGGTATAGGGTGTAAATGGTATGGGGTTTAGGCATTCATGGCAGTAGGGGCTAAAGGTATCGGGTTCAGGGCTTGTGGATGCCTGGCCTGCTGGAAGCAAAAGCCATAATCCACAAACAGTGTCGGCATGTTCTTTTCGCCTAGGTTCCGCAATAGCCCCTTAACATGAATTTGAGTCACAACAGTACATAACAGTACTGATTTTCCTACAACTCGGTTCAAGTACGGAGACCCCAAAACCCTAAACCCCTAAACCCTTCAAACCCTAAATCCCTGAACCCTAAACCCTAAAACAA